TGTGGATCGCCGGATCGGCTTTCACCGTGGACGAAGCGGAGTCCAGCCCGGGGTCGTCACATGTGGTTGCTGCAAGCCCGCCGGCCGTTCCTCACTCTAGCCGCCGAGTGTGACACTGTGTGTTTCATTGTGAAAGTGAAACTACTTTGTTTGGCCTTCCAAAAGAGGACACGACTAGAAATCAGTGGTTAAGTTGTATTTACAACACTGTTCCAGAACAGTTAAACCCAAATATTCAGATGTGTGCAGCACATTTTATGGAGGTCTGTTTCCTGATCCTAGTAGAGTAGACTACAATGCCGGCTCTTCTAAATTTTTTAGAATTTGCCACTGACTATTCAAACGCGAGTTTTGAGCAGTGTAGAGTAGCACTTGTTGTTTGTAATTTCTCCGATCACAAATGCAGACATGGTTTTATGTTTACGCGGCGCAATGCAGTGTGTAAAAAGACAGTATAAGTCATTATAATCTGTAATTATGTCCCCGCTGGATGCAACAAATGCCTCGTTTATAATGGGTTTGAATGTTTTTGTCTCGTCGCTTCGGCCGGACGGCATCACAGTATGGTAGGGGTGTAACATTTCCGTCACACGCTTGAGTTATTCGGCCAATCACAACGCACTGGATAGCTGGCCAATCAGAGCACACCTTGCTTTTCAGACCGATGAGCTTTGTAAAAATCGACGTGTTTCAGAAAGGCGGGGCATAGAGGAGCAACAATAATGTACAGTATGTGGAAAATAATGTGTTTTTTGCACCTTAAACCGCAAAAAAACACATTTCATTACACCACATGCACAAAATAATGTTCTTTTTAGCAACATCGTATTACCCCTTTAATGTTCAAAAAACACATTATTTTTCAAATACTGTACATTATTGTAGTTCCTCTATACCCCGCCTCTCTCAAACGCATTGTTTTCTACAAAGCCCCTCCTTCCGTCAAGCACAGTCTGCTCTGATTGGCCAGCTGACCCAGTGCATTGTGATTGGCCGAACACCACAAGCACGTGTCGAAAATGTAACGCCCCTTTCCATAATCGCGAGCTTCAGCTTTCAATATAAATGTAAAGAGTCTAAAGACAGTACATAATGTCCTTAGTTTTACCATCAGTTCAAGCCCGAAAGAGGAACAGAGTCGCGTGACAGACACAGTGATGATTCTCGTATGTATTTGCAGTACACAAGCCGCGATTAAGAAAGCTTACTCCACTGTGATGTGACTCTGTCTCTCTCTCACGCACACACACACACATAACGCAATACTCTACACGGTGCAAAACTTCGCATTTGAACAGTCAATAGCAAATACTTAAACTATTAAGAAAACATACTTACAGTAGCTGATTCAGAATAAGCGCCAGATTGTCATAGCAAAGTCGGAATTT